CTTATTTGATGCTATGAATAACTCTTTATTAATCGAGGTGACATCATTACGTTTTTTTAAGTAAAACAGGTCTTTTTGTAAAAATCGCTACGAGTAAAGGCTCTCGAGATATTTGAAATCTAAAATATCAATACATATTGTTGACTAAATAGTTATTAGACTTAAGTAATAAATTTGAAATGTTTTTGTGCCAAAAGTTTAACAGAATAATAATTAATTAATTAAAGTAATTTAATTAATTTTTTTTAAGAAAAATTTAGGAATAGTTTAAAAAAAATAGTAAACAGATATGCATTTAATACATTTTTACGTTAAAAAGGTCTCTTGGTAAAAATCGCTATTGGTTCTCGAGATATTTGGAATCGAAATTATTAATACCTGTCATAATTGTCATAAATTAAACATGTTGACCTCGATGTTGACTAAATAGTTATCAGACTGAAATAATAAATTTGAAATGTTTTTGTCCCAAGAATTCCAGAAACTGTTTTATCATGCCAATGATTAATTAAAAAAATTTCCCAAATTTATCATTTCAGTCAAATAACTACTCAACATGGTAATTTTTTGTCAATAACGACTAGTATTGACTACTTTTATTCTAAATATCTTGAGAACGGTTGCTCGTAGCGATTTTCACAACTCTTCTTACGTAAAAAACGTTGAAAATGTATTTTTTTTGCTCAGTAATTTTTTACAGGTACAGATGAAAAGTTATCTTCAAACCAGTTAAAAATATGTAGGTGCTGCGCTCTAAAAGTAGGAGTCTTATTGACATCAAAATCAAATTTCTCATGTTAAAAAACTCTCAGATACCAATTTTCATCCAAATATTGTCTCTACTTCAGAAATTGTTTGAAAAAAATCGAAATAACAATGAAACGTATCTGAAACTAAGCATTTTAGGACATACATTTGTACGAACTTTTTTACTTATTGTTTTCTGCATAATATGCTGCTAAAGTTTTCGGATACATTTCGGACCATCCTGTATATTTGTTTTGAAATCATAGACAATATCTATTTCAGCTTATGTGTAGTTTATGGTCAGGGCAAATCTATAAAGGAAAAACAATTCCAAATACCCGTCAATCTCTTCGCAATGGTAGGTACATAATCATAATACACATAATGTACGTAAATTCAACAATTTCCGAATTTTTGGTTTTGAAATGTTGAACGAAAATTTTGTAATTTTTAGACTTATTATAATCTCATTTTATACATATATAAATACTAACTTGAAAACTAATGTCAAATATTATTAACTTTCACAGTTTCACCGTTTCACAAATGATTTTTTTTTTTATTAATTTTCACAGTTTCACAATGAAACCGAACACATCGAAATGAATTAAATTGAATGGTTTAAGTGATATCTTCAAAAGTCAATAACTCTGAAACGGTTGGTTTGAGGTACATGGTGTGTATCTCGATTTTTGCTTAGAATTGAAGGAAGAACCGAAATATGCAATAATATTGTTTAAATAGTAAAATTATGTATAATGTAAAATTATATTCTATTTAAAAATGAAACTTTGATGTGCCACGACTTTATGACGGACCCTGTATACTTAAATTTATTACCCGCTAATAGATATTTAAAAACCCTATAACTTTTATATTTAACTTTTTGCGGTACCTCTTATATTTTACCTAATAATTGACCGTTCCTATACATATCAGCGGCAATCGTACATCTATTTATTAAACGCAATCATACAGGTGTAATATACAGTCATAATTTTCGCCGATAGCCTTCTAGTTGAAAGTCAAGCAAAAGCGAGAAAATAAATCAATTCCAAAACACTCAATACTCATGTGTGGAAATGTCGTAATTTCTTTAAAATAAATATCAATGTTTTTAATTCGCACACAATATCTATTGCAACTCATATCTAGTTCAAAGTCAGGCCAAATCCACAAAGGAAAAACAATTCCAAACACCCATCAATCTCATCAGTACTTCTTTTCTTTGAAATGCGTTCGGTTTTTTTACATTTCTTTTTATTCTCACTCTCGGTACGCTGAAAGGAAAAGAGGCCAGGATTGTATTGGGGCGCATAACTCGGCCGAGAGGATTACTACGAGATTCGAAGAAAGGCAGGCAGGCAGGCAGGAAACGGGGACCCAAAGGGTCTGCGCCGCCCTATTCACGTGGGCACAATGGGCCGAACCGTGGGCTTTGTTCCGGGGCCACCTGGACCAGGACGGGAGAGCTGAACCCTCTCTAACGTACGCATTATGCGAGATGCGCAATTATTTACACTGATTTTACTACTGGGATGCTGCCGCTGCCGATGATGCCACATACAAGGTTTTAGGTACAGTTTGTTCCATTAAGAAAAAAAATAGTTTTTTAAATCTCGTTTATTAAGGAAACGCCTGCTTGAAAGAAGGATGTTTTAGTAATAACATATTGATTGAAATGTATATTTGCTAGAAATCAGAAATTACATGAGTCAGAGTTATAAATTTGTTATTGCTATAAACATAGTCAACAATGCATACGGTGAGTTTTGAAGAGCTAAATTTTCGTCTGTTTAAAAGTGTGACATCGGATCTCTTATTTCTTCTTTAAGTTTTTTATCTTCTTGCTTCTTCTTTATTCTTTATTTCAGTCAGCATGACTGGTATGTAGATATAAAGGAAAGACCATCGATCGATCTGCCTCCTCCTTTCAATGCCTCCATTCTCCTGTATACCTCTTCCTCTTCCTCCTCTCATTGCACCATTCTCCTGTATGTTTCCTCCATGGAGTCTGGACCTACTCTCCCTTGATCTATCACTCAAAATCCACAACAAACAGAAATGCTCAGACCTCATTATTAGAGCACAATTCAAAGATCTTAACAACACGAAGTATAAGAGTCATCGACTGATTTACACCGATATGACTTAAAAACTGATGGACACACTGGAACGAACTTTCATACGTGTGATAAAGAAATATGTTTCTCACTAAGTTTCATAACGGGAATATTCTCAGTAGAGCTTAATGCAATATTTAAGGTCATTCAATATATATTGATCTCCAGCAAGAAGAGTTCCATTTCAAGTATCTCCTCATTCTACTTTAATCATCCGCTAGTTATGGCAATTAAAATTCTTCTACAGAAGGCCAATATCAACCACTATGGCATCGCTTTCCTTTGGCTTCCGAGCCACATAGGAATTTCTGACAATGACAAAGCTGAGTACCTGGCTGCAAAAATACCCAATCCATATAAAATCAACCTTTTCTCTTCCGTGCAAGATCTAAAGAATTATGGTAAACATATAATTTCTTGATAATATGGCAACATAGGTAGTAGATTAAATTTACAAGAAAGTAAAAACGGAAAATATCCAGCGGTTCTCAAAATTTGACCAAAAAATATTTTTTTTTAGAAATTTTTAAATGAATGTGAAATAACTCGGTCGTTTTAGATTTCTTTAAAAAACGGCAAAGAGATAATATGTTTCTTTTATCGAGATCTACCAGCCCTGAAAATATTTGCACTTATTTAAGACTCTGTATAACCCAGTAATTTCCAAAGTGGTCCACGTGGTCTCCTAGAGACAGGACGCAAATTTTCATTGTTGGATCTAATCTTCACATTTTTTGTGAATATGGTAGAAATATTGCAGCAGGGGGTTTACAGAAACCAGTATAATTTTAAAATTGGTCTACAAGAAAAAAAAGTTTATGAACCTCTGTTAAAGCAAATTATTGTAAGAAATAGTTTGCAAATGGTTGTTGTATTTGTAGGGACATTGTTTATTGTAGGAACTGATGCAGTGAGTTTTTCTTTTGTTTGTCTCACATATTAAGTATGTATTTTGCACTCTTATTCGAATATCATGGATGAAGCATCAAAGCTGGTTAAATACATTTGTTAAATGGATATATAAAAATTACTCAACACTATAAAATTGAATGCAGAAAATCATGCACAGACTACGAAAATTACATACTTCTTCAATAGATTTGATGAGTAAATAACTTTCACTGATTCTGTTTCATAAAACAAAGACAATGTATATTTTTGCTATTTTTAGTAAATTTGCTTAGAACAGAAGTTACTTCCAAAAATAAATATTTAATATTCATACACAGCAGCTTCTAACAATGTGTACTTGTGTACCTATGCCATGTGTTCAAATATTTGACAAGTACATCTTAATATCAATGGTCGAATATTCAACATTTTTGGAATGTCTAACAATATAAAAATAACTAACTTGATCATGTTAATTATTGCAAGTCTAAATTCCTTTTTAATTAATTGAAAATAAGTTATTAGCATAATTGAGAGTTTTTTTAATGTTTTACTCAAAGAATGGATAAAATACTGCATTCATAATCTAACCATAATTAACAAATAATTTTCAAGTAAATTAGTCCTATATCATCAAACTAGTAACTCAATTCAAAATTGAATAATTTTTGTGTTATTTTGTTATCTAAAATGTATTAGTTAATATCGTTCAATATCACTTAGGCAGTAAGTTTTAGTGTTACAAAATTTCATAACTCAACCAGTCTTGCAGTTTCAATCTCATTTGCTTTTTCATTTTAATTTTTCGATTTCTCATTCAGTTGCGAATTAATCAAAATTCGGCGAAATACTTCAAAAAATAAACCCGCTCTAAATATTTTTAACATGATGTGCTACCAACTCCTTGAATATGTGTATAGTCAGTGATGGGCGGTGGGTAAATACCCAATGGGTTTCTTTAAGAAATTTGGGTATATATCTGGTATTTACCCAGAAGGCGTAGGGTATAAGCCAATTGAGAGTATATTTCGTCAGGGAACCCCTATCTCCTATACTATTCAAAATATACCTGCCACAAGCACTAAAAAAATAGATGCTTAAGTGTAGAGGAATGGGAATCCCCCTAATAAATGAGGACACCCTATACACCCTATTTTTTGCGGACGACCAGATAGTCCTAGCCCAAGATCACGACGACCTTGAATATATGGCAAGGAAGCTGATAGAGGAGTATAAGAAATGGGGTTGGAGGTGAATATCAGCAAAACTGAATGTATGACTGTAGGGGGGCCACAAGAGAACATAGTCTTAGAGGATGGAAGCGTGATAAAAAACTGTGACAAATATAAATATCTCGGATTAAAAATAACTAACGATGGAAAACTCGACGAGGGTATAAAAGATCGAATAATGCAAGGCAGAAGGGCAATATCTATGTTGAATGGTGTACTGTGGGATCAAGCAATCTCTAAAGCTAATAAGAAGAACATATATAATACCGTAGTGAAAAGCATAATAACTTACGGAAGCGAAGTATGGCAGTTGAAAAACAGAGAACATGCTATTGCAGAACAGAGAACATGCTATTAGCGACCGAAATGGATTACTGGAGGAGATCTGCTAGAAAATCGAAAAGAGAACAAATAACCAACAACAAAGTAAGGGAGATTATGGGAGCAGAACACACAATTGTGGACGACATAAGAACTAAACAACTCATATGGTTTGGGCATGTGCAACGAATGCCCGATCACAGAATACCAAAAGAAATTTTACTGTGGACGCCTCGAGGCAGAAATAAAAGAGGAAGGCCGCGACGAAGCTGGAGGGAGGGTGTGGATAAAGAACTAGAAAATAGAGAAATACCTGATGATCTCTGGCTAAATAGACAAGAGTGGAGGTTAGGTGTCGGAAAACGTCGTAGAACGTTCTGAACTGACTTGGTATTTGCCCAAATTTAAATATACCGGGTGTTTGCCTATCTCTGTATTAATTCTTCATCTAAAACAAAATTAACAATAAAAGATAATATAAACAGAATTTATCCTTTTCATACTTAACTGCTGAAAGATAGGTCCACGGACACGATTTTTTTTTCTTACGGAATAGATGCTACGTGTCCTTGAACTACCAAACCAAATCGAAAAACCGACTTCGCCCTGTTACATATCGCAAAAGACCGATGTTTGAACCCCGAAATCTAAGCTTGTGCGTACCTCGGCTACGAAACCATTGAAAAGCAGAGGGTAAGACACCTGAGGAGCTATTGTTAAGTAAATTGGGACTATTCAGCGATGAAATACGGGGTATCTTAAGGGACATAAAATGGTAGTTACCTGTAAATCTTCGTTAACAGCCTCCGCTCGTCGAGCAACAACGCTTCCTACAACGTCGTTTTTCCTTCGTTAGGCTGGCGATAAAAATACCGGAATAATGTACTAAGTTGTTTTAATGGGTTTTAATTTGATAGAAAATTCCTCAGGTGCGTTGCGGAGATTCGCGGCAAATTATTCTCAAGGAAGTGGCGTTTTATATACGCTTATTTAGTTTTGTTGGCTAGTTGTATTTTTCACTCGAAATATAACTAAATTGTTTTAATCAACCAAGTGTTATTAGTAAGCTGCGGTAATTAAGATTTATAACATTTTGCCTAGCAAATAATTATCGTTACTACCTACTATACTGTCTTATATAAAGTAACAATGAACAGTAACAAGACACCACTAACAGAGTATTAATGATGTGCATGGTTATATTCCTGATTTATTATATTACTCTATTTCATTATTTAATTATAGAGTGCTACAGAGCTTTAAGTTGCTTTTTTTTAACTATAATAGGGCTTTGTTTTTGATTTGGTGTCAGAAACACATCTATGTTTTTTTTTCGCAATTTTTTTTGAGAATGTTGTGTTATTTATTAGAATTTCATTCTAACAAAGAACACAACACTGGAAATAGTAGAATATATAATATTTGGTACAACTACTACACAGCTCGGGATTTCTAATACCAGAAATCAACAGAAGAATTAAGTTAGCATGGAGTACTTATGGAAAAAAACTCAATCATATTCAAATCTAGAATGCCACTTTATCTAAAGAAGAAAACATTCGACCAATGTGTACTACTAGTAAAGACATATGCATGCACAACCTGGGCACTTTGAACGGACATCATAAGGAAACTGCAGATCACACAACGCTCAATGGAACGAAATATGCTGGGAATAACCAAGAGAGACCGTAAAAGAATAGAGTGGATACGACAAAAAACCAGGTAATAGATATCATCTACCGAGTCAAAATCCTCAAGTGGCAATGGCCAGGGCATCTAGCAAGAAGAACAGGCAACAGATGGACCACAAAAATTACAGTATGGTACCCACGAGGAATTAAGAGACCTAGAAGAAGACCGAACCTGAGATGGGACCATATAATATCATGGCAGGGATAACTTAGGCCCGCATAGCCAACAATAGACAACAATGGGCCCAACTAGAAAGAAAGTATCTAAATATGTAAGGGAGGCTACACCATAATTGGAAATGGTTGAATAAGCTGAAAATGGTGATGATGATGATGACTAGAGAGCTTTAAGTTGCTGTTTCAATAATAACATGACCTTTTTTATGATTTGGCGATTGTCTAAAAAGTTGTTGGCCTATTATAGGGTAAATCTAAATTACAATATTAAGTCAGTCTCAATTTATACAAAGGTGTTTAGCTAGTTAGCTCAGTTAGTTTTGAAATGTCATATAACTGAATAAACTGTGGTTTAAAATATCGACTAATAAAGGATCCGTTTCATTCAGAATATCTTTTCTAGTGCTATATTGAAAACTAAATAGGTACTTTTTTGGTAAAAAATAATAGGTAAAACAAGGTATATAAATTGACCGATATATCGGGTGCGTCTCAAAAGTGGCTTACCCGTAGATCTTTTTGTATTTTTTTAGTAAAAAAAACGAGATTTGGTATGTTAGTAGGTATATGACAAAAATTAGAATTGATTGACGTATTCTATTGTTTTCGGTGACTTCCTGTTTCCCCAGAAATGACTACAACTTTTGATTTTTATATGGCACCCTCTGAATTTTTTTACTTTATTCGATATAAAGACACTTTGAATAGAATGACATATCATATGTCAATTTTTGACATTTTCGCATATGGTTTATTTAAAATTATAACTTGCGGTTCGTAACAAAAATTTGAGTCGAAATACCAAGTGTGTGGTATCAAATTATTCGTAAAAAATTCTTTTTCCAAATATACTAATGAGCCACCCTCGTTCCATTTGAAAAAATTGAGATATATGATTAAAAATACGATTTGAGCATTTTCTAACTGGCCAGGACTAGACACTAAAACATTACACGATCAAATCTATTTTGCCAAGGCTCCTTGATTAAGAATTTATTAGTGTTTTTAACATAGTCATGGAATGCCAGATTGAATTTTAAAATACGATTTTTTAGTAAGCGAGAATGTCAAAAGTTGACATATGATATGTCATTCTATTCAGAATGTATTTTTCTATCGAATAAAGTAAAAAATTACCGAGGGTGCCATTTAAAAATCAAAAATCGTAGTCTTTTTCGGTGAAACAGGAAGTGACCAAAAACAATTGAATACGTCAATCAATCCTAATTTATGTCATATACTAACATACCAAATCTCGATTTTTTATCTGAAAAAATAAAAAAGTTATAAGGGTCAGCCACTTTTGAGACGCACCCGGTATGCTCGAAATTTAGCAAGGAAGAATAATATAGTAAATAATTAAAATTCGAATAATTATGGAGTGCACCAAACCTATATGAGACTAAATTAAATATTTTCCCCAAAAGTCAGCATTAGTGGTATCCACACATCAAACTTCAACTTCTTTAATGTGATTTTTTTTAAACAGTACTTTTTATTGTGATTTTGGATTTCCCTATACCTATAACCAATTAATTTGTAAAGAAATGTCAAATTGAAATTTACTTTATGATAAACTTTTTATATTTTCAAGAAATCAATCATTTTCTCAATTTTTCGCGTTTCATTTTCTCATTCCCTCTACTTTACTATTAATCCAGAAAACGACATTAAACGGTATAATTTGCAAATAAACAATCAATACATAAATTGATATTGCTTAAAAATAATTTTCAATTGTGTTTTAAGTTTCATTATTACTTTTACAGACTGATTATAAAAATTATAGTAAAGTCTTATATCATTCATATCATTTTTATACACATGCGTTTTTACAAAATCATGTATCTGCTTGGTAATAAATCACACTGTATCACCTAACAGATGTACGAACGATTAATGGTCGCTCAAGACCATAGGCACGTGTGTAATACTAGAGTCAGTAGGATGGACGCATGTTATAAAGTAGCTATACCACTTGTACTTTGGGAACACGTAGCTTCTGGGCAAGTTGGATGCGTAGTATAGAATATAAACATTTTAATTAAATCATACGACGTTGTCATTTTATACTTTAAAAAAGTAGAAAAAAGACTCAAAGTCTCGGTCTGGGTCGAGTCTTTTTTCTACTTTTTTAATTTGAACCAGGTCTCTTTGAGAAAAATGGATGCATTCTTTAAATTTTATACTTTGTTTATACAGGGTGAGTCTTAAATAAGTGCAAATATTTTCAGGGCTGGTAGATATCGATAAAAGAATAGTATATTTATTACACAACGAAGTGGAAAGTGTTTCATTACCGTCGAGAGATTTGATATGTAAGATTGATTGTAAACTAAATCTCGAGACAGGAATGAAACTTTACACCGAGATTTGTATACTATTTTATTTCCAACCACATCATTAATTAAAAAATAGGGACAGTATTTTATTTTGAAAAATATAAGTAAATATGCGAAAATTTGTCGATTTCTGTTTTTGCATTTCCATATCTATAGTTACGGTGGTTGTTATGGCGCAAACCTTCAACAGCAATACAAACAACCAAATGATAGTTTTGAATTTCTCTTTCGCTTTTTCGAATTTATATAACATAGAAAGCCAGAATGTTGTCGGAAAGTTCTGATAATGAAGACTACTTTAATATTGGTACTCCACCATAAACTTACAGAAGCTACAACAAGGTGGTATATCCATAAGTGTCAAAGCATATAATAATTCGAATGTAACAATTAATTTGAATAAATAGTTATTTGTTATTTTAAACTTTTTATTTTAAAACTTTTAATACAAAATGTACCTAATAGGACATTGTAGCACTGATTGTAGTTTGCTTAAAAGTGTTTTCTATAAAAAAAAGTTGCAATTAAAGCAGCATTTTATCAAAATAAAATCTTTAAAAAAATGTTTCGTCCTAATTTAAAAAGCTGTGCTTATCTCCCGCCCACGGGAGGGAAGTAACATTTCCACCCGTGGGTGGGAAGTAAAAGTTAGAAAACTGACATTTTCCAACCTTCAAAATGTCGGAAATGTCAACATTACTTATATGGTTGTAAATAAACATATTTTCTCTATGCCGTTTTCTAAATAAGTCAAAAAGAACCGAGTTGTTGGTTAACCGAGGTGTTTTAGTTAAATTTTGTAATCCACGGGATCTTTTCTATTGTAATCGCAAAACATTTTCCGATGCACGTCATCAATCATATCGACATTGACACTAAAGTCTATAAACCTGACTAAATAAAATTTTGGCAAAAATATTTAAATTTGTTGTATAAAGATACCGAGCAGCTCTTCATTTTACTTTATAGGGCAAATAATGGTAACAGGTATTTTATTTAGATTAAAGCTGTAAAAATTAGTTTAAACCGAATTTTATTATCGCTGTGTTGGTCACATTGCGCCGTGTTCAGCAATGTTGCCTTTTATTATTTGACAATTATCCTAGTGTCAATCTTTATTTTGTGTAATATCGTGTTGTTGTTGAATATTTGTGAGTAATTCTCGTTT